TTGCCGCCAAGGCGCGGACAGACTGACAACCAGCACTCGGGCCGCATTGCTTACAGAGCTTAAAGTAGTTCTTCATACTGCGTTTTGCCTTTTGTTTGGGGGCTTTTAAAAATTGTTTGTTTTGCTTTAAGTGTATGCAGGGAACATGCGACCTTGTATTTTGGAGAGCTGATCTTTCTGTTCTCTGACCCACAACATTGTATGCTTTTGAGATTAAAGACCGAGATTTTTGAACATTGGTAACTACTCCTTTAAGTAGCCTTTTTGCCCTGGTACTTCAGTTTGCTCAGCTCACTGGCATAGGGAATACTTTATTTTCAGGGCGGGGTGGGGTGTGTTTCGTGGTTTGAACTTTTTACTTACATCCTTCTCTCTTTCCTGTTTCATTTTCAGCCTGATTTTGATGTTGATCACTTTGTATCAGGCTGCAGGAAACGTGTGCAATTGGAAGAGCTCAGAGAGGATCTGGAGCTCTATTACAAACTCCTTAAAACTGCTATGGTAGAACTCATAAATAAGGACTATGCAGATTTTGTTAATCTCTCAACAAATCTAGTAAGTCTTATTAAGTTCTGTGTAGTTCAGACTTCACATGTTTTAGTGTGGTTTTTATTTTTCACATTAAAAGTATGTGGCTTGTATTTTGGCATTATTAGATTTAAGACATCTTAAAATATGATCCCTTGCAGTGAGGGAAACTGAAAGCCCATTATTGTAGAATCTAGCTACTGTACAGAATTACTTTTGGCCCATAATAAATGCTTTAGATACATGCTTTTTGTCTTTAAAATGTTCAGTTCATTAGGAAGTTAGACTCAAGGCAAACATTTTTTTTAGAACTGTTAGTAGTTGTAAAATGGAAGGAAGTAAATCATTACAATTGAATAGCAAAGATACAAATAAGGCCATTGTGAGAGATTCTTTTAGGAGTCTTTACATTTACTATATACTCAATAAATCTTAAAAAAACCCAACCCACTTGACTGAGAATTTTAATAATTTTCATATTAAAATGTCTTGTTCACTGTGTATCCTGTTCTCTTACTCGAGTTCATCGAGGTTCCAATTATATAGGCTCAAAGACTGAGATTTAACATTTTTATTGGAAGAAAAACTTGCTTAGGTCAAAGTTTTCTTTCATTTTTGGCTTTGTGTGACAAACAGTCTGGTATCTTTATCCCTGTATTTGAGGTAACATTTTTGCATCGTGCTTAAAACTGGAGACTATAAAGGGAAGTATCATTTCTCAGTTCTCTTAGTATCTGTAAAATGATAGGCTTTGTCAGTAATTCACAAGCGAACTTATAAAAAAAAGTCATAAATATTTTTATGGTCATTTCTTTAGGTTGGCATGGACAAGGCCCTTAACCAGCTTTCAGTACCCTTGGGACAGTTAAGGGAAGAAGTTATGGTATGCTCACAACAATCATTATACACAGCTTGATAAAATTCACCTCTCTTTCATATGATATATAGAGTGTCTTTTACTCATGTTAATAATTATTGTAATAAACTTCTCTTTGAAAACTGACTTCTTAGAGCAGTAGTAGGAGAGGCGTCTTTTCAAGCAGTTGTAGTAGCAGTAAGTATACATTTTCTATAGTGCCTTTTAACAAAGAGATGAAGGATTTCTTAAATGTGATAAATGAATGGACTCTTGCAAGACAAGTTTAAGGTGAAATATTGAACTGTTTTCATAGTTGAGTAACTTAAAGATGGTGGTAAATAGATCAGATGCAACACAGTCTCACTAAGGACTTCCTTGTTTAGTCCTGTGGTTTAACCATAAAAGATCACCCTCTTGAAGGTCGGTCTTATTCTAACTCTTCCACAGTGACTTAGTATTTAGTGAAGGACAATTTTTGTTTCTCTTGGCAGCTGGTTCAAAAGGATATTTGCTGCATAAATGTACCTTCAAAATATCTTAGCCTTGATGTCTAAAACAGAAAATATGTTCACAGTTAGCATAGAGAAATATTTATTATGTGAAAAATGATACTTAAATCTGATTTATAACTTCAGTTTCAAGACATAAAATCATACTGGTTTGATTGCTTATTTCTGGGTAAAGGTGGTTTGTTATCTGTAAGGTACTAAAAGGATGCTTCTGGTTGAAACAATGATACTTGTGGCAGTACTTTAGGAGCAGTTTATGCTTTCAGTTACTTAATCTTATTTCTGTTTTGGTTTTTTGTTTTGGTTTTTTTTTTCATTTGGAGGGCAGTTGATGTACTGTAGCTTTTATTTGTCCTATATTCTTATTAATGTGTCTTCTGTTTTAAGTTTAGATTTTTGAGGTAAGGCTTTTTTAAACCTTGAGTGAGAAGCCAACTTTTCATACTGACTTTCTGTCTCGCAGAGTCTTAAGTCATGTGTCAGTGAAGGAATTCAAGCAGTAGATGACCGAATGTCTAAACAGGAAGATATTAGAAGAAAAAAGGTACAACAAACAAATTATTACCTTGGAAATATCCTCATTAGGGCAACTTTTGGTTTTGCCATTAAAAGTTTTGGGCTGTCTAGATGCATACTGTGCAGGACTTTGCACTTGTAAAAATAAAGATTGAAGTTTTGGTTGACAAACTTTTTTAAAAAGAGTGTCCAGCTGATCATAAACCCTTATTTTACTTTGTTTGTCAGAAACATCTCTGTTCTCGGCTTTCTTTAAACACAGTTACTCATGTTTCTGCTTGTAGTAGTATATAAACTTGCTTATTATGAATGTAACTGAAATATAGCAGTTTAATTACTATATGAGAGGGAGGAAATGACATTTGTCTTTGTGCTTAACTTGGTAAAAGTTGGGTAAGAACAGCTGTTCTGTGTCTGTGACAAACATTGTTTGTAGGGTTTTATGGACTTACCTAAGCAGTACTTCATCTGAGACAGAACTCAAGCATTAAGGTGGAGGGAGAGAACTTAACACCAGCAAAAAAACCACCAAACAACAAAAACCAATCCAACAAAAACACAAAAAAACCCAAACAAACAAAAAGACCCAAAACAAACAAACCGAACAAACCATCCAAAATATCTTCAGGGTTGTTAGGAAATGTAAATTGGAATTGGGGTCAGACATGAAAAATCTTTCTTTATTTACAGGTGTGTGTCCTGAGACTTATTAATGTTATTCAGTCTGTTGAGAAAATTGAGAAAATTCTACATTCCCAAGGCACTAAAGAATTGTCCTCATTAGAGGGAAACAGGTAAAAACTCAGCCCTGTGGAGAGGGACCTGGGGGTTCTGGTCAGTGGCAAGTTGAACATCAGCCATCACTGTGTCCTGGCTGCCAAGAGGCCAACCGTGTCCTGGGGGCACCCAGCACGGCACTGCGAGCCGGGCGAGGGAGGTGATCGTCCCGCTCTGCTCTGCACTGGTGCGGCCCCACCTCGAGTACTGGGTGCGGTTTTGGGTGCCACAGTATAAAAAGGATCTAAAGCTACTGGAGAGTGTCCAGAGGAGGCCACTAAATTGGTGAAGGGCTTAGAGGGGAAGCCCTATTAGGAGAGGCTGAGGTCACTTGGATTGTTCAGCCTGGAGAAGAGGAGACTGAGAGGAGGCCTCATCGCAGTCTGTAACCTCTTCACGAGGGGAAGAGGAGGGGCAGGGGCTGATCTCTTCTCTCTGGTGACCAGTGATAGGACCAGGGGAAATGGCAGGAAGATGTGCAAGGGGAGGTTTAGGTTGGACATTAGGAAAAGGTTCTTCACCCAGAGGGTGGTGGAGCACTGGAACAGGCTCCCCAGGGAGGCAGTCATGGCACCAAGCCTGACAACATTCAGGAAGCGTTTGGACAATATGTGCCCTCAGACACATGGTCTGAATCTTGGGATTGTCCTGTGCTGGGGCAAGAGTTGGACTCGATGATCCTTGTGGGTCCCTTCCAACTCACAACATTCTATGATTCTAAAAAAAAAACCTAAATGTTCAGTTTTGTTTGTAATTGATGAAACTAACTTAATTTCATGGTATTAGTGTAGACGAATTTACAGACTTTAGGATATGCCTTTAGAAATGTAACTAATGGAATAGTGACTGTCGTTTTAGTATTTCCTCAGGTTGTCTTTTGCAAACTCGTCATTCACAGGTTATGCAACCCAGCTCCAAAGTTATGAATTACTTGTAGCGCTTTCAGTAAACATCTGCTCTTTGAAGATTGCCTGCAATAATTTTTTTTTTTCTTGGAAACCGCTAATCCTGTTATGTCTGAAATACTCTCCACAGTACAGTTTATTTCAACATAATTTGGAAGTAAAATGGGAAATAGCTTTTCTTGTTTTCCCTGCATACATCTAACTGAAAGGACTGCTGCAAGAACAGTCTGAGGCAGGCAAGCCACACATGTAATACTTTTGGTAGAAGGAAAGTTTGTGACAAATTCCAGTCAGACTCACAAGTTTTGTTTTTTGACAACTTCATGGAAAGTGTCTTCTCCCTCTGCCTTTGCTGAGGGATGGAAAATGTCTTTCAGCCGGTTTTGGAGCTAATGTACCAGCTATGTGCTTGAAGTAATTGACTGGGGTGCAAGTGTGAGTTATGCTGGAGGAAAAAGACAATTTTGCAACCGTGCTTGAACATGAGACTGTCTCTTCAGTTTGGTGCACTGGGTCGCATGGTAATGAGTTGAGGGAGGCAGGCAGAAGAATTAGTTGATAACTAGAGGAACAAAGCATATGCAAATGTTTTCAGTCAGGGTGAGGCACTTTGTAGAATCATGTTTTGAAGCAAAATTGTACTTGAGGGGTTGAAAATTTGGCTAATGATATGGACCTAAGAAGGTTAGGACTGTTTCTGTAGAGATAGCTTTAATTACTTTTACAACATGACAGAAAAGGGAAATAAGAAACAAACCTGAATGGTGAAGAGCACTTACTGCAGTATGAGCTGTAAGGCTGCCTTTTCATGTGACAATAAGCAGCACTTCCACGTAGAAAACAGTACCTCATGCTGCTGAGGGAGCTTCTTAGATTCCTCTCAGCTTCTGCTTCACACACCTCATATCTTAGTAGCTCCCAAACAACTCTAATCACGTACTCTGTTCCAGGTTACTATTGCATGATAGTGATAATTGTAGTCGTGCCTATCAGAATTCCCAATGTTTAGATGAAACCACAAAAATTGGAGGAGGGCATTGTCTATCTGCTGCAGATGAAGTTGAGTTGATTTGAAAGGATCTACCTGTGTATTCTCATTTTGTATCATCTCTCTTCTAGCCCACTTTTAACTGGACAGGTTTTAGAGAGAATTGCCACAGAATTTAATCAACTACAGTTTCATGCAGTACAAAGCAAAGGAATGCCCCTTTTGGACAAAGTGAGACCAGTAAGTATTGCATGGTAGCCAGCTTAACGCTTGTAGGATCAATCAAAACCAGTACAACTGGAAGACAACTGCCTGTTTCTGCAGAGTTTTATTGAATTATTTATGGGGGGGAAATGAGTTTCAAGAGGTAATTTTTTTCAGTTGACTTGAAGTATTGCTTCTTCTGAGGGTTTATGCTTTGTTTGCTCACTTCTTTAGGTTAAATTACTTAAAATAAGAGTTGGGAATAAGGCAGACATTTTTGTTTTGTTTGCAGTTTGTCTACTTGCTGATGTGGAGGTCTAGTTCTGGAGATTTATGTTGGGTTTGTTAGCTGCAGTGTACAGACCAGAATATAAATAGAATGTGCCTACGGAGTGGCTGGCTTGGTCTTTTGGTGGAATTTGTTGCCTAACTGTGGCTGTTCAGACTGGTAGGCTCATCTCCATAATATCCTGTTTGTGACAGTTGTCTACTGCAAAGGATGACATTTTTTATTTTTCTGTCTATTGGTTGGACAGAGGGAACAAGTGAAGACTGGTGCTTAAAGGTCGATAGTGTGAATAACGTGAATATGGAGATGGAGTAATGCTTTAAGCTAATTGGCATGGAGCTGACATTCTTGATGGCTTTTGAGCTCGTGAGGAAGCTCATAGTTCCAGTTTTTCACTATGTATGTGCCTCGATAATATAAACATGTTTCAGCTTGAGACTTCTGTGGCACCATATTGGTTCATGGGCAGTTTACAAGACTGTTCTGGCCACTGAATTATCAAACATGGACAGCAACAGAAGTGTGAGCAACGGGGTAGGTGGGAGGACCTTTGTTACTTTGTCGTATGGCTTCTTTAATGACGCTTGCCAGGGCTTCTGTCCTGTACATGTTGTTGTTACGGGTCATCAGATCATAGTTTTCGTGACTAGTTGGCAGTTGGCTTTAGGGGCTTTGCGTGTTCAGAACAAATTCTTTAGCTATTTAAATAATCATTTTAGGGTGAATGGACACAATGTATCATGCAAAAGGCTGGAGAAAAAAATTGACTTGTTAAATTGGTACTTCAGCTGTGATTAAATTAATGTGTGTTGCTGAACTTGCTTCATTCAGATAGAGAGTTGTAAGGGACCATCTTGGGCCAGGAGTCTATCTGTAGGTAGGGTAGCAATGAGTTGGATGTAGTGGAAGAGATGTTGCAGGAGATGAAGAAAAATTGTTGGTAAATGGGAGAATATATGTTGACTGAAGCAGCTGTTTGGCAGAAGCCAGAAGTCTAATGGCATGTCAGTTTTGGTTTGTTTTTTTGTTTTTGGGGGGGTGTCATTTGTTGGGTTTTTTTCTTTTTGCCAGTATCACTCAATGTCTTTGGTTTGCAGTAATATGACAAGTAGTGGTGGAACACACTATTGTTTTAGTGTGTGAGGAAGTGACAGTGGGGGGTAAATGCCACAGTTGTTATCCCTGGTGACTTATTGTGAAGCTTTTGTGTATTATCACACATAGTGGTTCGGTTGAACAAGGAACAATTAATGACCTATTTCTTCAGGACAAAGGAGACCTTAGATATTACCACATAACTTAAAACATATAGAGGAAAATAGTTGCCTTTTAACCTTATAGCATTGATAACCCATTGAGCTTGTCTTAATGTTCATTTAATGCTGACAGTTACAAAAACTTGTGCATCTTTCAAATGAAAATGGAAAGCTGAATTAAGTATTTCTGGAAGAATTTTCTTCAGCAATGATGGCAAGGCTTTGCTTTTGTTTGTTACTATATTCTGTTTCTCTTCATAGCGTATAGCTGGAATAACAGCTATGTTGCAGCAGTCTCTGGAAGGGCTGCTCTTGGAAGGCCTTCAGACTTCAAATGTTGACATAATACGTCACTGTCTACGCACTTACGCAACAATTGACAAAACACGAGATGCAGAGGCATTAGTTGGTCAAGTGCTTGTAAAACCTTACGTAGATGAGGTAAGATAAAGTCAAAAATCCTAAGAAAATGCATTGATGTGCAAACATACATATTTTTCCTGTTAACCTCCAGCTTTCTTTAGCAGCTTCAAAATGCCTTTGTGGAAAGAGCAGGAGAACTGAGCCCCAACACAATCTCAATTTGTTGTTGCTCTTTAAGAAAAAAAGGTGGAGGAATTCTCTGTCCACCTGTCATCAATTTTGGGTTATATCCAGTTGGGATTCTTTTTCTCACCTACATTTTTCTTGGGGTGAGGAATCCAAAAGAACAAACCTTAAACCAAGCATATGACTGGAGTGAAATCCATTTTTTTCTGGACCATGGTACATCTGTGGGAATTAGATCAGATCTGGGGTTTGCCTTTCTTCATGGCTGGCCAGCAGCAGGCAAATGCAACAAAAATTCTTCTTAGTGCAATGTCCTTTTCTTCCTATTAAATGAAGAAGCAGTTTCTGTGGTTCCCAGCTTACCAGGACGTGAGCAGGAACAAGTGTTTGTTGGGAAGCATTTGCTGTTATCTAGTGGAGAAAAATGTGTCACAAGGCCAGTTCCTCAGTTCACAAGAAGCTGATTTGAGTAGGCTGTTTCTTTACAGTAACCAGTTGGACCACTCACAAAGTACTGATTGAATTTTCTGAAGTCAAGGGACTTCCTGCTAATTCTCTTGACTTTGCAGCTTTTGCTGCTACCTATAAAATGGTTCCTCACCTTTTTATAGCACTGTTTGTTCTTACTGCTTCTAATGGCCTGAACAGTTGGGGAGTAGTCTACGCTACTTTTTTTTCTTCTTCTGGTGGTTGATGATAATGTAATTCCTCCAAAAAAAGCTCAGACAGTAACCTGCCACAATAGTGTAACAAACAGCAAGTCAGTTAGTTGTGCTCGATTTTTCTTGTATGTCAGTGTACCTGCATTTGCCACTAAAAATGTCTTTAAGGGCCTACAATTATGGTAACTCAAATGTCAAGCTTCAAGTAAAAATCTAAAAATTCATTTTAAGATATTTGATAGTCTACTGTGTTTGAAATGACTTGATAAAACAAGTTTGTTACATTTTTAATGAATGTACTAAAATGATGTTGTTATAATACCAAGTCTTACTTTGAACCTTCTTATCAGCGTGTTGGGAGTTGTGTCCAGGTTGTATCATTCCAAAGGATATTTGTTCCCTACCGAGATGTGGATAAGTGCCCTTTTACAGTATAATTACTAGTGTTAACTGACTGCCCTGTTGCAGGAAGTTTCCGTGGCTTACACTAGATTGTGAGAGTGTTTCAGAAATGCATTAAATTCACTGTCCTCAAAGAAGTTACACTGAGCCAGGGCTGTAAAGTTGTTTTTCTAAAACTAGCATTATGAATCTTTCAGCAGTATTAATTTTCCTGCTTCTGTGGGGAGGAAGAACTGTAAAGTACAAGAACTGGCTTGGTGATTGCAACTATACACTTGTTTGAATTTGTGCATATTAATAGAAGGCAGCATAGGTCTTCCTCTCATCATCGCCTCTGTAATACATAGCGCTTTTCGGTGGCTTTGAGTCCCAAGTTAAGCTACTGATGTATCTTTTCCTTTGCTATTAAGACTTCCTTTCACTGCCATTGTTCTTTAAATTGAGGTATTTAATAACATTCTCTTTGCTCAGTAAACCATGAGAGGCATGTTATAATGTGAGGAGCTTCTTTTCTTTTCTTTTCTTTTCTTTTCCTGCTTTCAAGATATTTAAAGCTCTCTACTGATATTTTACAAAAAAAATGGGACCACTTATAGTATAGAGTTAATACTTTTATTAAGACCAATAAAAGCAATGTAAGCATTGTTTCTGAGATTATTGAATATGTCCTTTCCTTTCCTTTCCTTTCCTTTTCCTTTCCTTTCCTTTTCCTGCTTTCAAGATATTTAAAGCTCTCTACTGATATTTTACAAAAAAAATGGGACCACTTATAGTATAGAGTTAATACTTTTATTAAGACCAATAAAAGCAATGTAAGCATTGTTTCTGAGATTATTGAATATGCTTCTGTAGGCAATAATACAATTGCTTTTTCTTACACTGATGTTTCTTTCTGAATATAAATGCAAGATGTGACCTTAAAGTATTTGCTTCCCTTTTCCATTGAGTTTGCCACAGTTTCCCCAGCCAAGGGAAGTGAAGGGTTAATCTGTATAACTTTTGCTGAAGGAGTTGTTCTTCTAAATCAAGATAGGGAAAAGAAATTACCTTTTTTCACTCAGTAATGTCTTCAGCAGCCAAGAGATGAAATTGTTACATTTCCCTTCCCTGTGAAAGATAGTATGTCTGGTAACACCTGAGCTGTATGTCATAGTCAGTAGAATGTTTCTTTTCTGCTGTTGGAAAGGAAACATTTAAGATTATTCTGGTTTTACTTTGTATGCATACAGCTTTACAAAACAAAACCAGCTCCTGACTTTTGGATGGGAGATGGAACCAAATGGTGGTGGCCTCTCTCCTTAAGGACAGACTTCCTTTGGTTGCTTGCTAGGGAACAGGTCATCTTCCCTTCTCAGTTTTCTCAGTATCTATTCCTTCTCCACTTCTAAACCATTCAGCTTGTTTATGTAGCAAGAGGCAAAAATGTTCAGACAGGTGGAAGAATACCAAGAAATAAAAGCTATTTTTCTTTTCCTGTATTGTCCAACTCATCTGCCTTCTCTTTATGGCAGTTATCCCTTTTCACTGGATATGAGGTACTGTCCTGACAAACTACTCTGCTACCTGCGTTAAAGGCTGAGCATTGTCCCAGAAGAACCTTGACTATTGGCTTACCTGCATTAGGGATTGGATCAACAAGCTCTAAATTTAGAAGATTTTTCTTTTTTTACTTTATTCTGAGGTTTGATTAGAGTTTGATAGTCACCCATTTAACTTCACAGACTGCTTCAGGGACAGTGATGTGTGCAGTAGGTGGGGAGCCAGACATGGTGGCTAACATTTAAAAGCAAGGAACTCATTCCCATTCTTGTGGCCAATCTTGACAGTTACTGCTGCATTAAAGGAAGCAATAATTCAAGCTGGCAAGTTATAAGTGGAAACTGTAATATAAAAAAGTCATATAGTGACTATCTCAGTATTTGGGGTTATAGTGTTAGGAGTTTTGAGTTAGTAGACTACAAGTTTTGCTTTATGGTATTTCCTATTTCCTTTTCTGACATGTAACATTGAACTCTTCCCGGCAGGTGATTGTGGAACAGTATGTTCAGTCTCATCCTAACGGCCTTCAGGCTATGTACAATAAACTGTTGGAGTTTGTTCCTCATCATTGCCGTCTCTTGCGTGAGGTAACAGGGGGAGCTATTTCGAGGTAAATATCTCGGGATTTTTTCACTTGCAATAAAGTTACAGTAAGTATTACATACTTTTGCAGTGTTTTGCATAATTAGCTTCCATGTGCAAATGACTTATTTGACCTTTCCTGAAGATTCATAATCAAGTTGGATTTCTCTCTTGTCTGTGTTTTTCAAAATAAAACAGCGAACAAACTTCCTTGTGGCCCAGACCTTTAGAGGAGGGA